CAAGATTTTTTTTAGCTATGGAGAATTGAAAATGCGATTAAATATGTAGAGTAAGCAGTACTTTGCAAAGGGACGACACATAAGAGAAGAATTTTTCTTCAAAAACCGAACCCACAGTAGAAAATATTTTCACCACCCTACTATTGATTGTAGAAACGTAACTATTGCAATTCTCCCCCTAGCTGTTTTATCAAATAAAATAAATAATTAAATCATCGAAATTTTAACTTTTGCTCTTGTTGCTTTTTTCGGCTTGAATATCATTCAAACGCCCCAAAGTAAACGAAAATATAGTTTTTTTTGTTATTTAGCAAGAAACCAACCAGTACTTATATACACACACTAAAATCATTTCGGGTACCCTCTAAGTATAAACGTAATACTGTTTAACACTCCTTCGTACATCATTTTATCAAAGTTCAACTTAATTTCGACTTAGTCCGTGTGTTTGAAACACAATGTAAATACATGACACTTAATTTGTCAATATAATTATAGGAATCCGTTATGGCTACAGATGGTTGAATTGTCTTGTATCCAGCTTGTTTTGTAAGACACTCCAGACCAGAACTCTCCACTGCATGGTCTACTGGACACACGTGCTGTACTTTTACTTGGCCGTGCGGAAGTCCAGTTTCGCCGTGGATTTATGTTCCACCCTGTAAGGTGGAGATTTGTAAGCCTTACAGTCCACTTTCTCCCATTGTATGGATATGTGGCGTAAAATGCCTTTGTCATCGTTGTGAAGAAGTTTAAAATTGTCTATGTGTATGAAAACAGTTTGTGGGTATAAATAAAATACCTTGTTCGGAGATAGATTGGAGTTTTTGTGATGTTAGAGTCTTCCTATATTTGATGTCGGTTGTCTTGTCAATAGTAGTGGTTGTCGAGTATTTGTAGTGTTCGCTTTACTTAAGGTCGTTGGCTCGATTTACAGAAGACTCGGAGACCTTTTTGAAAACCCAGCTGTCTTTGGACATTATGGTTTGAATATAAATGATCCTGGCCAAGAAACAGCTGATCACAGTCAGTAGCAGCTGCAAAATGCATCCCACACTCGTTTTCCATTCGGTCTTAAATACGTCTACATCTTCATAGTTTTGTTATACAAGAAGTATAAACGTTGACACAAGGTTAAAATCATACATAGTACATCATTACATAGTTATGTATTTGTCCTTATCTTTTACAGTATGGTGAACATAAATTAAAACCTTAGTAGAAGTTCTTAAAAGTATTTGGACAAAATTTGGACTTTCATAAAACCTGTCACAAGCTGTACTCAAGTAAACCCCTGTAGTTCAACTATGTAAAAAATCAAGAATTTCTAAACATCAAAACATAGTAAGAGTGTCTGTCGATGATCAGTTATCCCAAAGATTTATGCTACCCTTACACAGATTATTTTCTGTTTTTAGTTATATTAGAATAGAATTTAAAATAGAATTCGAATTATTTATTTACACCAATTAACATGTTTACAATTTACAGGCCGTTTGAAACATCAGAAAGTGTTAATAAATCTTGAAACCTTCTCCAAAACATCCATATTTTGACAAAAAATTGTTTGCAGACCCGTTTCCAACGTGGAAGTACTGTACAATCTATTGTAAATTATCCAGCAGACCTCGCTATAAATCAGGGTTCTCGGTGACAGTTTATCAGCCGGGCTTGTTATCAGAGTCTTGTAAGGAAGTAAAAGCATCTTGTATACCCGTGGACCGTGACGGTTTCCCCGCCTCCACTGCAGACCGTAGGCCTTCCACTGTCACTTTCAACTTTCCGACCCGCAGCCCCGGGCGAGGAATACGTAAACGGTTGAAGGTCAAGTCCAATGTCCATATTTAAAACACTTTCAACGTTCGGAACGCTGCGAGAATTTATGTACTTTCGGAAAGCGAGCTTGTTATTTTGTTACTGATATAGTGCGTCGTGTTTTAATATAGTAAAGTTCGTTTGGGATTGTTCCAAATGGGTGGACAGGGTTTGTGGTTTTTGGGGGTAATGTGCGGGACTCACGTTTTGGAGGGTTGGGGTTCAAATCTAGCCAATGGCCAACATGATTTGAATGTCTGCATGCGTAGTGTGGTCACCCGATAGTTTGAAGCCAACATATCCAGGAAACCAAATAACGAAAGATCTTTCAGGAAAGGAGAAATTTCTCTGTTTTGGTTAAGTCGTTCCAATAAATAAGGCATCAAGTTTCATGTTATCAGCTTTGTTTTAGTATAATGTTGAGTATTCATCGTATTTATATAACTTTTCTTTGGCTGTATTTAACATTCCTCTTCCTCTCCTGTCTTCAACTTATACACATGTTTTGGCTTGAAAAAAATATTAAAATGTGATTTTGTTATTGTTTTTTTGTTTTGGTTTCCTTCTGTTGGGGAAATAATACTGGAGGTATAGGTATTATCCGGTACTGGAGGTAAGGACTGTTGTTCTCAATTTTCTCTCAATTAATTTTAGCAGTTTACTAAATTTATTTTGCCTCGGACAAAAACACCACCTATTTTTGCTCCTCGAGACTTTTACAAAGAAGATTAGTATATCTTATTCACAGCTAAATCCGGTAAGTTATGACTATATTTCAGTATAGATACGTAACTATTTTATAACGTCAACCTTTTGGATGGTCTTTATTAAATTTATCGCACAATACCAAACTGATGGTAAATGAATTCGGAACCAATTTGGGACGAGCAACTTCCGATTTGGCACTATAACCACTCGGCAACACAGAACAACTGTTAAACTAGGGTAGGGGGAGTAGGGGTTGTCTAGTAATAAATTAAACTCCAATAATGTCTTTATAAAGTAAAAGAAGACAATTTGAAGGCTAGTAATCCTAAAACTAATCATGGTTTATGGTTTCTCATTTGACTGCGTAACTCAGTGTATTTCCCATTTCGAAACTGGACCCAGCTGTCCTTGATCATTGGGCTTTTAATAGGTCCTGACTAATAAAACAGCTGATCTTAGTCGGTAAAAAAGCTACATAAGGCATCACACTCTATTCTACACTCATCCTTCGCTTATATTTGGGTTAAAATACGCACAAGGGTGGCGTCCCCATCTCATATGGTAATGATAATAATAATTTCACAATGTAAATAACATTATCTCCTCCCACAAAATAACCTTGGACCTATTGCCATTGCGAGTGCGTAAGTAGGACCGTTGACGACGCTCAATGCAGTGCGAGATGATAGCAGATAGCAGGTAACGGCCAAGGACATTAGCGTCACCGTTAACAGAGCCATTATCATCATTACCAAGGCTGCTTGCCAAGAGTTACACCCCTGGCTAGGCTTGGGGATAGTGCCATGGCCTTCACTATGCTTTTCCACAAAAAAACACTGCTAAGTTGCGTTAACATTTTAAATATAACCTTGAGAATTAATCGATTTGAACACACGTCTCACAAAATTTACATAAAACGTTTGGAGAAAAAGTTGAATACAGGATGGACAGGTATAAAAAGTGACACTGTACATAGAAGAGTCCTGTGGTATTGGATACGTTCAGCAGATACATATCAAACGAGGTCTAACAGTTACCTGAGGATGCTAAGACTGGTTTGCATATTTTACAGTCAGAGAGCGACTTGCAGATGTCAAACATAGGTTACAATGATTTGTAGCATTCAATAAGCTACAAATTGATGTAGGTATATAATATGTTCAAGGAGTTAATTTCAGACCTCCAAGATGTACGGTGTTGCTTTAACATGTCTTTAGACGAAGTTTCACATGGTATACCGAGATTTTGTTGATAAGGTGACTTTTGAGGACATCTTGTAGTATGCAAGGAGGTTCTTGAAGATACAGACCATAAAAATGGTAGAAGATGATATCCATCCAATGATCTGTTAGCAAATATTCTAGGATACAGAGATTTATCCACAGTTATTCCAGTATAAATTAAAACAAGCCACTTACAGATATCCCAATACTTGCTTTTGTTTTAGGATACACATATCTACTTACATAATGTTACAGGATAATGAGATTTGTGAGGCTGGCGTGACCAACAAGTTCCAACTTGGAGTGACGTCTTGACGTGAGATGTCTCAACCTGACCTTTCCATCATCTATCTCTAGCTTGTGTTTTACAAGTGTTTACTCTCATATACTGCACCCCACAGACACAAATATGCGAGTGTATCTAGTATGTTGAGTTGTGAGGCTGGCGTGACCAACAAGTTCCAACTTGGAGTGACGTCTTGACGTGAGATGTCTCAACCTGACCTTTCCATCATCTCTAGCTTGTGTTTTACAAGTGTCTACTCTCATATACAACCACAGACACAAGTATTCGAGTATATCTAGTATGTTGAGTAGTGAGGCTGGCGTGACCAACAAGTTCCAACTTGGAGTGAGGTCTTGACGTGAGATGTTTCAACCTGACCTTTCCATCATCTCTAGCTTGTGTTTTACAAGTGTCTACTCTCATATACACCACAGACACAAGTATGCGAGTATATCTAGTATGTTGAGTAGTGAGGCTGGCGAGACCAACAAGTTCCAACTTGGAGTGACGTCTTGACGTGAGATGTCTCAACCTGACCTTTCCATCATCTCTAGCTTGTGTTTTACAAGTGTCTACTCTCATATACACCACAGACACAAGTATTCGAGTATATCTAGTATGTTGAGTAGTGAGGCTGGCGTGACAAACAAGTTCCAACTTGGAGTGACGTCTTGACGTGAGATGTTTCAACCTGACCTTTCCATCATCTCTAGCTTGTGTTTTACAAGTGTCTACTCTCATATACACCACAGACACAAGTATGCGAGTGTATCTAGTATGTTGAGTAGTGAGGCTGGCGTGACCAACAAGTTCCAACTTGGAGGGACGTTTTGACGTGATATGTCTCAACCTGACCTTTAAAAATTAAGGGTGTATTGATCGAGGCTAAATTACTTTATTCGTTGTTGTACAGCTGTGTAACATGATAAGCAATTTCTAATACAAACTAATAAGAATGTCTTTTTCAGGTATCCTGTACTGAGTTAACGTAAGTTTTTAAAAATCACAATTTTCTTAATTAGCAAATTTAGTCTCTCTCAACGTACTCATTTGGCCATTAATGGCTATAGCCTTATGGCTGAGTAAATGGTTGGGATTGGTTCCGAATTAATGGCTTACTCCGCACCACTCCTTCCAGTCACCTTCGTATTGAGGTCTAGGTGCGGGTGATGGCCTTAGTTTTCAAGATCGTGTAAAAGTTAACCATAAGGTGCAGAATGTAAGATAGACAAGTGATATCTGATTGATTAAACATCTAGTAGGGCGCATTTACTTTGGGTACTGAAATCGTCATCACGTTTACATGGACCAGACTTTTCTTTATAACGAGCTTCTCACTTAGTGCACAACAACAAATTAAATTTCTCTTTAAATTGCTTATATTGAAATTGGGTTGGATGGATAAAAGATAATTTAGTTTACAGCTGTATTTTCTAACAAAAATACGAAACAATTGTAATTCAACACTCGTGCAGAGCATTGTCCTATTATACAATGACAAAGCCATTTTCACATTTATTTCCCACCTGTGTAAACAGCTGGTTAACCTTCACAAACACTTTTACTTCGCATTGTCTTTAATAACAGAAACATACGTCAACAGTTCCCATAGAAAGTAAAATTGCAGAATCCAGGACAGGATCAGTCATTGTTTAATCAATGAAAGTCGCTGTTTGGGAAGCGAGTGAGAGTGATCCCCCCTTAAAACCCCCCGGGCCCCGGTGTCCCCCTCAGACACGTTGACCCAGTTTTCACTGAATACTCTCACTTGCGAGGGAATTAAAACTGCCCCACCCTCAGGGTTGTGTCGTAGCGGCGATGCTTTTTCTTTTTTTTACCCGCGAGGCGCGGCCCGCACACCCACGTATGATGGTTGTAGCTTTGCGGGTTTGTGGCTGTGGTTTCGGTTTTGCACTTACCGCTGATTGATTTTAGTTTGGCTTTCTGTTTAGTTTGTTTTTGCCGGGTGAAATTGCGATTTTAATTTCCCGTATGGGATCTTGGTAGATATTGATTAGAATGTGTGGCTATGCTGACACTTATATAGTGAGATGGTGTGCTTTTACCGCCAAATCGAAATCCTTCTGGGATCGAATCCACTTTTCCAATTACTTTGGTGCCACACGGTTCAGACTATCCTTAACAATTGATCTCGTACGGAAACAAACCCACGCTGACGTTTAAGGCACCGAAGGGACACTAAATACACTAGATTGTAACTTTATACAGATTGAAGACACTCTACCACCTCAACTTATCCGAATTAGTACCACCTTACCGCCACCTAGGTGCGTATTTCTACTCAAATATGAGTGTAGAAGGAAATTAGATGATCTGTGTAGCTTTACTATTAACTAATATCAGCTATTTCACTAGCCAGGATCGTGTTTTTAAGCCCAATTATCAGGGACAGCTGAGTCCAGTTCCGAACCATCAAAACCCTATTGAATCTTCTCAGATGTATTAGGTAACCTTTATTGCTAGGCGAGCACTATACCCCATCAGCATGTGACTTATTTGTTTCGCACAATCCCCGCCAAACTCCATAACTGTATCTAAGGTACAGGAAGACTCTTTGACTACATTTCCATCAACTCCTCTGAGAGACACGCCCAACTCCCGACTCCCGGACTCCAGGAGTGACCGTGAGCGGCAGAGTGGGAGTCAATGTCGGCGACTGGTCTCCTTGAACTGCGACACGAAATCTGCATTACCATGTCGACCCTGTAACCGACACCGTTACAGGGTGGCCGAGAATGTTTGGAGAATGTCCCAATAAAGATCCAATAGAGATGCAAAGGATTGATGCAGGTTTCCCACCATTGATTGAAGACGATTAAGTCTTGTATCTGATCCAGGTTACAGGAAGATGGGAATGAAGATAGGGGAGATTCGAGATTCAGGTTGTGGAAAGTTTTCACCAATCACAGTGATGGGATATTTAAGCTATAATCCTATAAAAACAACATATAACATCACTAATAATCATGAACTGTAAGCAAAGATGAAGATCTGCATTAATATAAAATCAAATGTATCTTTGCCCGTCTATAACTCTTTTATTCAAGGGCTCTAAATGTCTTAATGGTTTCTTAATTTCATTTTTAAGATCTGTCAAGTCTCTGACCGCACACTCCGTATAAAATATGGCTTCTGCAGCAACGTGTTTTCTGAAAAGAATGTAGTGAGCATCTGTATTTGAAATTTCATAGTTTCATAAAACTGCCTTAAAGTCTTCCAATTACACACTTGTAGGAGTGTGATTGACTCAATCCAAATTCACACAAATGTTTAATTCGAGTGGTGAGAAAAGATCTTCACGTCAAGGGTGCGGCCAATTATGTTGGCAAGCTAGAATTTGAGAACGTCGAGGTCTCATAAAAAAGATAAAAATTTTTAAACAAATGTTTTTATCCATTGAAACTCACGTGACTTCCAGCCACTCTGTCGTTGCGTGACCAAAGCCTATTGACGCACAATCGATGATGGCAATACATCTTTGAGTATTCCCCACTGCATCTACGACTATGGTGTTTATCATTCAAAGCGTTTCCTCTACGAATCCTTAGTTTTTTCTAAATTAAGAGGCTTGGCCCAAATTTACAAAGGAATGTCATACCGCATGCAAAGAATTTGTAGGTATTCAAAATCGCCAAAGGCAATCAAAGTAATCAGTGAAAGCAGCAGCAAAAGCAAACACTTTCATAATTTTATCAATCCCAGCCTAATCGGAATGCTCATTTCACTATTGGTAAGCGGTGATTGCATATTTCTTGTCGCTGCATCTAATGGACCATCAGAGTTGATGAGTCGAAGTGACCGACATTCTGGACATCTCCAACGCCTCGAGCGCAGTTTTCTCCGATCTCTCTAGTTTTTGGTCAATTTGCCCATGTTTGACACTAAATTGCAATTGAAATTAATTGTAGATTAAGTTGATGGGACAAGGGTTGCGGTGACAACTTTAAAATAGCTTAATGAAAAATTACACTGCACTTACAAAGATTCCTAAGCACTTCAGCAAACACATCGGTGTAGAAGCAAAATTTTGTAGCTTATACTGTGCTGTGGTGGACCTATGGACCACTTAATCAAAAGTTAGTATTCTAAAATCTAACTTTAGCTATTCTATTATCACCACTGATACTAGAAGTATAACGTACAGAGTATAACGTAATCTCTGTCATCAATGGCATATCCAGAGGTTTATCTAAAAAAAATTTTTGTACCTAGTAAATATAGTATAGTCGCAGTATTTTCCTAATGAATTATGTTTTTCTGAAATGACGCTTGACTTCTTGATTTGGGTTGGACTTGCTTAAAGTGTAGTAAAAAACGTATGACCAATAGTAACCATTGGGGGGTGGTAAACAATTATTATACCAATTAATTACTTAGTAGTTATCTGTATAAACAGAATAAATAGATCAATACAAGTTTATTTTGGAGTTAGTCAAACTGGTGGTCAAAACATTGAAAGACTATTCTCGACCCTGGACACAGGAACTGGCAATTACATGTGAAAGCTATGAATAGACGATCATCTTTATAAACCGTAATCATAGACGCTTATAATGGCTCTTTGTTGTATCCGGTTCCTTTGATGTATGTGGTTTTTACTTTGGGGAGGGACCGTCAGTTTTGAAGGTCAAGTTTTGAAAACATTTTGAGCTGTAAGTTGTTGTCTTGTTATGATAATTTCAATTGAAGATGTCTGGTAATTTGAAATAATGCCTCATTTGACTAGTTGCTCATTCATAATTTGTTCGGCCACCAGATAGTAAACTGTGTACCTAGTAATCTTTCTTGGTTTTACGTATCGTCTTTGTGTGTTTTATTAATGTTTATTGACGCCATGCAAATGAAGTATTTAAGTGTCCAGATGTAAGATGGTCTAGTCACACACCCAATGATAGAATCATCGCCAGAACTGCCGTGATAATGTATTAATGTATTATTGATTGCAATCAGCATGTTTTATTGTTAATGCAGAACTTAATGTGTACACAATGTAGTACATGGATAAATATGGTAACCTAAATCGACTCTGGTCACCATGCTACCGATTAAAGAGGCTTACTTATAATTGGTCGATGGTTAGTAACGAGACTAGAATTTTAACCGTCCCCTTAATCTAAATTCAAAACCATATTGCTCTATTTTCATAGCATTAAGCATTTCCTACCTATGTCACCAAAACCTGTGTTATTGAAGTGTTGGACCAATTCATTAAGAAGAGAAGGGAACAAAACTATTACTATCACACTGTAATAAATTCCAATAAGAACCCGTCTAGCATATTTTAACGCTAATATAAACGAAGGGTTAGTGTCAAATAGTGTGAAACGTTGAAATATGGAGACATCAAAGCTCGTTTTTCATCACTATCTGTGGATATCTGAATATCAACCATGTAGGCATGAAAAGTTCAATATATTTCCCCCCCTTCGAATTTCGTATATCACCATTCTTTAGCACCGCCGTTTAGCATAAATCCCCGTCCTTTCTCCCCAGTTACAGAATCGGAAATTGATCCAATTCGGCCACTCCTCTGCAAAACACTTTCGATCCGGAGCGTCTGCCCGGGGAAATCGTCCAAGGCGGCGCCCAGCTCGGGTGAAAGAGTGAAAGGATTGTTGCACGATCCTGTGGGACACAACATGCAGAATGCCACACTTGGGCGAGGTGTGGGTGAAATCGAAAGTCACCCTGGGGAGGAGGATTTATCCGGCCTAACTAGCCATCCTAGTCGGTCTTGCTAGACGCACGGATAGTCTAAGTTGTTTTGGAAATCGAAAGTCGAGCCGGGGGAGAGACGATTTGCATAAGGTCAACCGAGTCTTGCAGGCTTTGAGCTGAACATATGAGTTGTTTATTCAGCTTTGAGTGTTTATGTGTGCGAGGTGTGCTGTGGGACACTGGTTTCGGTTTTATATTCTCCTGACTACATTAACCTCTATGCTAAAGTAGTTAGGTCCAAACTATAGA